CCGTTTGGATCGGGTTTGTCCCATCCATGGAGTGTGACACGATTTCTGGAATATTTGCGCCCAGTTTGGCCTACTGGTACGTAGCGGCGGCCTCCTGAGGGTCGTCTGCTGACTGATAGAGTGGTGACCAGGCGTCGACAGATCCCAAAAAGGCAAAACGGCGTCAGTGGCGCCTATGAGGCCGCATTCATGACATGTTATACATGCCCATGACATCCTGACACATTGGTCTAAGTCGCACTCTGCTCGAAGCCCGGCAGAGTGACCTACGGCGCCCTTCGCCGCCACCTTTTCACCCTCTCCCCCTCCCCCCCCCCGGGGGCGCGGCGCGCCGCATCACGCCGCGGCCCGCCCACCGCGCCAGCATTGTCGTCACGCCCGCTAGCATGAAATAGGCTGCAATTATTGGCCGCCGAACGCGCGCTCCGACCAATGAATGCTTAATCACGACGGACAATATGCTCTGCCGGCGACCGCCACCCCTTGGATCTGACCTCTGGGTGACCTGCCGTGACCCCGGCGGCTCGGGTGACCTCGCGGGGGGCGTGGTGACCTTTGGTGACCTCGCGGGGGGTGCGGTGACCTCCGGTGCCCCCCGCGCCGGTTGCGGGCCCCGGTGGATGGGGGTTATGTGGGGCGCCGAGAGGGAAGCCGGGCAGGTGAAAGGGCCGACCTCTGCGCGGATAGAGATCAGTATCATGACGGCGGCAGAGGCCACGCCGCAGCCCGGCCTCGCAACGGGCCCTCACAGCCTGGAACCGCGGGCGGGCGGGGCGGCGGGCCTTCACTGAACCGCCGCGCTGTCCTGCGCGTGTTCTCAGAGCGGCGGAATGAGCGCTGCGGACAGAGCAGATCAGATCAGATCAGGCCGCCGCTCCCAGTCGCTCTCAGTCACACTGCCTGGAATACGGCCTCAAACCGCCCTATTTACGGCCGCTATATTACCAGACCGACCGCGCGTGGACAGCGCGGTGGCTGTGGGTGGGGGGTGCTGGAATGCCCGCTCCAGTCACCGCCGCTACTGCCGGGGGAAACCCGTCTCGGAAACCCAATCGGAAGTGGCTGAGACGAGCATTCTGAACGGGTGATTCACGGGGTCGAACCGGCAACTGGCAGCGTGGTTGGAGATGTCCTTTGTCCTACTTTGGAAGGCTGCCGTGGGAATTAGGAGACTCGCGATGACTCACTATGCATTTTGCATTTTGAATGAAAGATGTTGAACCACCACATAAGACTCATGTCGAGAGAAACTACTCCAAGCCTCAGCGAAGCAGTTCGCCCCCCCCCCCCCCGGCGATAGACCTCTGAGAGGCCGGCGCGGCGCGGCTCAAAGCGCCCGCGACCACCGGCGGCGTCTGCGGCGGCCGGTTGCGCCGCGTTGGCCGCCGGCGCCGGCACGCGCCAGCTGCCGCGTCAGGTGGCAGTCACGGTGCGCTGCGCTCGTCGGCAGGTGCGCCGGCACGCGCCGGATGCGTCTCCGCGGCTGACCGGGCGCCGCGGGGGTCAGCCGCCCAGCCGGCCGCCCGGCATCCGCCCCCCCCCACCCCCGCCCCGCCGCAGGGGGGGGGGTCACGGAGCAGCGCGCGCCCGCCCGCGCCCCGCCGAAATTGGCGCCGAACAGGAAGTGAGTGGCCGGTGGCGCTGGTAATGACGGGGTGACCGGGCTCGTTGCGGAGCTTTGATATGACCAGACAACTCAACGAATTAACGCTATTTCCTTTTATTTGAAATTTTCATTCGCTCGGATGGCCTCTGCTCAGTGTCGGTTATTCCAGCGCGTCCGTCGCGTGTGGTGACTGTGAGGCCGTATACCCGTAGGGCCGAGCTGGCGGAGTGTTCTCCGGCCTGGTCCTCTGTCTCCTCCCTCTCCCCGTCCCTCTCCCTCTCTCCCCGGGGCGTGCCCGTCACGGTCCCCGCTCGGTCGACGGACTGTGCTGCTCTGATTGGCACTGTCTGAACGAGCAGTGACACCGTGAACAACCGGTCTGTTCGACCCTCTCCCCCGCACGCAACTCTCGGTCAGATGACGTCACTGTGAGATATGACGTCAGACAGGCGGTGAGTTTAAAAACACAGCTGCAGTTGAAGGCAGCTGATGCTAAGTGATTCCATAAAATTCACCGAGTCAGTCATGTCAAGATGTGGTTGATGTCAGCTGGTTTACAAGATCGCTGGTATGTGACGTTGTGTTCGTTCAATGTCGGGGATTTTCTGACAGATGTGTGATGTCTGCTGCACTGTCAGGCGGCAGACAGGGCGCTGTCAGACAGCAGACAGGGCGCTGTCAGACAGCAGACAGGGCGCTGTCAGACAGCAGACAGGCGTGACAGACGGGGACAGCGCGGTTGACGGCGTGTCCCGGGTGCGGTCATCCTCCAGAACCCTCCGCCTATAGTGTAGCTTTCTCGAGAGAGCGTCAGTTGCCTGAGTTGATCGGCACGCTCTCGCCTGTTCCAACTCTGAGTCAGACAGACTGATTTTTCCGTATTGGAGACCGATTCACCGCCAGTAGCGAGTGTCGAGCTGGGGCGTCTCAGTGGACTGCTTCATCACGCCGTCTGGAATTGCCCGTCAATGTCACTGGCGACGACCCTCGGGTGGTTTACCTTATCGTCGTCTGGTGATGAGCTGGTCCGAGTGACCGCCGCTGAGCTGTCCGATGGTACTCCCCGTCCTGTTGCCGCCCGCTGGAGGAGCAGAGGGGAGGGAGGGGAGGGGAGACAGCTGCCCCAGGAACCGTCCGGTTACCACAGCGCGGCTTTGTCGCTCGGCTGGGCACGCCGCCTCGGGTAGTCAATTTTCCGGTGCGTTGGACGGCGCAGGATGGACGGGCACGTGCCCGCTCCCCGCCTCTCTCTCTCCGCTCTCATGCTCTCTATCAGTCTGCTGGAGTCCGAAGTTCTGGAGTCAGGACATATGACTCGACTCTGAGTCACGGAGGAAGTAACCGCGACCTTTGGCGGAACCACGTCCGGGATTCATGCTGGAACCTGTGACGCTGCGATGAGTAACCGGCCGCATGTGATAAAAGTTTCCATGATTCGACCATAACAGTGGGAGGCGATGCACGAACGAGCATGACGCTGATTATTGCTACATTTTCATTTTACGACGAATTGTTCCAGCGATTGCAATCAGCGGAGGGCTGGTGCACGCGGTGTTTTTATGGAAGCCTGCACCAATGCTATAGTGTTCTGGTCCATACAAATTGCGAAGTCATTCGGTCTCGGTGATATGCCGCGGCATGTGCTGGACGTGTTATGCGCAGAGGTAGACTCGGGCTGGGGTCGCATACCAGTTCCAGGGGAGGGAGGGGAGGGGAGGGGAGAGGATCTCCACGGGGCGCTGACAGGCCAGGATCAACTGCCGCAAAAACCGAACGCTTTCTTCATTCCTGGCCTTCCTTTGCATAATCAGCAATTACTTAGACCAGTTGTGATCATTGGTCAGTGACCAATATGGTTTAGAGGGCGAGGGCGTCATTTGTTGATAAAATATTACACAGTGTAAGCGTGGAAGTCATTCTAACAATAAGACCATTTGTAGCTAACCTAAGCTTTTCACGTTCGACTAAAGCGATATCACATTAAAGCAGATTGAAATTCCATCTCGATACGGCGGATCCACCGCCGGGTCCTGACCACGTGACCCACCCGGTGGTGACCTCGCCGGGTCACGTGACAGAGCTGCGACCACCGGCGGCGCGCCGGGGCGGCGTTGTTTTTGTGATCGGCTGCTTTCGAGCGGCGTTGATCCCTATTCAGCGACTGCGCTCGACCGAGCGGACAAAAACCACAGAGAATGCCGCCGGTGCCGGCGGGTCGGCCGGTCAGGGCTCGCTGCGCTGACCCGCGTGACCCCGCCGTACGGCCGCTCTCGCCGGGGGGGGAGGGGTGGAAGGGAGGCCCTTACGGGGGCGCTGGCTTGCTCCTGGGTTACGTGATTGTCGTCAAAAAGCAATATTTTCTTACCTTGAATTCATTACGCCTTGTTTTTAACGTCTTGGGCGTTTTTTCGTGAGCCATTACAATTTACAATCTTTTTATAAACTTTTGATATTGTTTAGTGGATATGATCTTTGTTTACGGACGAACGTTTCCTGTAAAATTCCTTTGCAATGACCATTGTCAGTTCAACGTCCTGGCGCCGATCCGGTCACAATGAGACGATACGAATCGAGCACGACACTGAACTGAGATCAGACTGGATTGTGGCCACCGTCGTGACCAGACCAACCATAAAACAACATCGGCGATATTTTGGTAACATTTGATGAGCCTTTTCTCAGAAGCATCCTCCGTCGAATCTCTGATAAACTCCTTATTCATGTTCGGCAGCTTTTCGGCTCAGGCGTCACCGCCTTGCGCTAAGCCCGTGGCGTGTTCGGTGGCTTTTGATGACGCCTGCTTACGCTGTCGTCGCGCCGGTGTGGAGTCCATTGTTGGCGCCGAACTCCCCACCACTGTGCGGGCTCTCTGTGGTCCTTTGATCGGCCTTTGTCCGTCGCCGAGGGCCGTATCTGACTGGTGATCTGGGCCCGCGCGGCTCGGACCCACCGACTGGTAATGCAGCGCCGGGCCTGCCTCAATTTTATCAGTCGGGCCCGGTTCGGCCGCCGCCGCATTCCGGCATACCTATACCTACCCCGCGCGGCGCCGCGCTGTGTAACCCGTCAGCGCAGCGACTGTGTGAAATATGCGCCGCGCGCTGGGAGAGGTCGTGGGTGCTGTGTTGGGGATCGTGCATTGCAGTATTCTTTGTTGCAATGAGACGTTAATGAGCGCTTGCAAAACAAAACGGGGTGGTAAATAGTCCCATGTTTTACAAACAGTCACATGACCCGTGAAAAACTGCGCCAATGAGGCACGCGATAATTGTATAGAACGAACCACTAACGATCATCCCGCTCCATAAAAGACGGGCGAAATAAAACATCGTTGACCTCAGGAATCGAGCCCGCGCCCCTCAGATGACTGACCGCTCGTCTCCTGCGTTCACAGCTGGGTTTCTTCATCTACTACACGGTGACGGGCGCGGAGGACGTGGCCGAGCACGGCGGCGTGCCTACGTCCGTGTCGCCGGTGCCGATCGATTCTGTGCTGCTGTACCGGCCCGACCGGCGCTGGCAACTCTGGCGCTTCTTCACCTATATGGTGCTACACGCCAGGTGGGTGTCAACGCCGATATACGGTGTAAACACCAATATACGGTGTAAACGCTGCGAGATGGTGTAAACGCATCTCTGCCGGACTTGTGGACGACACACGGGATATTGGTGTAACATACTTCGCCGGTGGACAGCACGGTTATTTGTCGTAATTCAAAGGCTCACGTTGACTTATTGTCAGCCTTCTCTGCCTCGGCTATCCATCGCAGCAGGATAAATGTGCACAGACGAACACGGAACCAGCTCGGCCACTGACCACTGACCACCGGCTAATGACCACAACGTGACCGACCTTGACGTAAAACACCGCGCACGTCCCCGGATTCGAACCGCCAACCCCGATTTTTAGCTGTAAAACCGCCGCGGGCCATGGTCATAAATCACTCTAGAAACCGTCCGTGCCGTCTTTCTGAGACGTCTGGCGACCACTTTAGAGACGTCCTGGACAAGTGAGCGCCAAATGGAGCATGATGTACGACTCTGGGGGGGGGGGGGGGGGGGGGTGGCGCGTGGGAGGACTGCGCAGGAGAAATTCAGCGCAGGTGTTCTGTCGGTCGTGGACGGCGGACGGCGGCTGTCGGACCGCGCGGAACTGTGCGGAACTGAGCGGATTACGGGGCTGAGCGGCGTGCGCTGTCAGCTGTAGAGAGCCGAGAGAAGCACTGTTCGGTAGGGCTGCTGAAGTGCTGCCGAGTGGCGACCTGTCCGCATTTATCGACATGAGCTGCGATGGCAGGGCTGAAAGTTCGGGACGACGAACGGCGGTCGGCCAGAGAGTATAACTGCTTTTGGGAGGTTTCATTATAGAGCTCTTTTGACATTTTGGCATGGTGAAGCTCTGACACAAAATACCGCTTTCTCAACACGAAGCTCACCAGCCTGCGAGTGCGCTGCCTGAGCGCCAGTAGGCTAAAGCTGTCGTCCCGTCTGTTATTCAGAAATGTCACTATCTCACGCCATGACGGCATGACTTTTCGCCGCGCCGTCGCCGCGGTTGGCTCCGCAGTTGTCCCCGCAGTTGTCCCCGCGGTTGCCTCAGCGATTGTCTCGGCAGCTCGGCGCGCCGCGCTCGCCACACTCGACCACAGCGGCGCCGCAATTGTCGCTGTCCGCGCGGACATTGTGGCGTGCCCGGCCTGTCCGCGAGCGTCCGCAAATGTCACCGGGCGACCCGAGGAACGCAGCGCGAATGGGAAAACTCGCCGACAGGGTCGCGGTGCGGGGGGGGGGCGTGGGAGCGGGGAGGGGTGGCTATCTACGCCGCCGCTCGGCACACCGCGGCGCGATTCAGTGTGCATCTTCGCCCCCCCCCCCCTCTGCCCCCCTCAGTGCCACTCCGGTGTGTTGTGCGCCCAAACAGGGGCATTGTACGGCTGCAATCCCTGCACCGTGCACGTCGGCCTTGCCGCCGCGGCGACTGCCTTGCAATGTCGGCCTGCAGTGCAGTGCCGCCGGGACGCCCGCGATGAGACGATCGGATCGGCGGCGGGCGAGACTGTTCACTGTTCGCTGTTCAGGGTGGGGGGTCGAATGACGAACGGTCGGCGAATGGTCGACGCCGGTGGTCGATAGCCGATCGATTTGTGTGGTCGATGTGTCGAACCCGGAAGAACTGTCCGCTGGTTAGATGATACGGTGATTGGAGAAGCAATATTGGCGGTCAGGACATCTCTTATCAAAACTGGTGATACATCAGAACGCTATGAGGAAAATATACCATAGCTAAATGCCACCCGTACCTTGACACTCGATGCATCAATCACAGTTGGCTCTGTGGCCGCCCACATGTCCATTTCATTTCATCGGCGGTCCGTCCCGAGCCACCGTACGCCAATCACTTCACTGACGGCGAAATATTGCGGCGAGCGGACCCTTCCTGGGCGAGCGGATGGGAACCTGGCCCCCGCCCCCGCCCCCGCCCCCGCCCTACTGCATTCTTGGGTAGGCGTCGACGCCTACCCAAGAGCGCAGCCGATCGGCTGCGCGCAGCAACCTGTCTCGGGGGACGGATTTGGGAGGGGAGGGGAGGGACGGGGTGGAGCGCGACAGGACAGGACGGTCAGGTCAGGTCAGGTCAGGTCAGAAGGGACATAACAGGATAGAGCAGGAGGTTTGAGAGGAGACCCTGCCCTCTCTCTCTCTCTCTCTCTCTCTCTCCGATCGTGCCGGACAGCGGCGACATCAGCTCAGCTCTGGCGATCACTAACGGCGGATTAGGACGCCACCAAGGCTCATTATCCCATCTCTCAGGCCGGCGCCGGCGCCCCTGTCGATCGCCGTCTCTTTCACACAGTTTCCCGGCTCGGGTAAATGCCAGGCGGGATTGTATGCGCGGTCGGGCCAACTGGCCGCGCTCTAATCCGTCCCCAGGATGGGCGGACACGAAAATATCGACAGGGCAGGTGACTGAGGCATTTCTGACGCGGCCGCGGTGCGCCGCAGTTTCCTAATTGATCCACGCTAATCTGACAGGCCCAGAAGGACTCACGGAGGGAAGTGGGCCCGTGGGAGGTGCTTTTGTGGACAGAGCGCGGCCCAGTGATGCGGGCCTTTTGAGGGATGATTGGCTTTACGGGCGCTTTTTATGGGTTTTGTGAGGAGATGTTGGTTTTGGTAATCCGTTAATTGGTAACGTAGTATTCGAGGGAAAGCGTCGTGCGCTTGGCATCTCAATCGCTGGCCTTTCCATTTTTAATCGCGATTACCACCGTGTCATAGGTAATGCTATTTCGCGTATTTGCTAGTTGCTACCTGTATGCACGCTTTATTAGTGTCTACTTGTGGTTGTGTGATTGGTTCAGTTCGTATTTTGTAGCTCGAGTTCGTCTGGAGCATCTCCTCTCGCAGTGCTGACGTCCTCCTCTCCTTCCGCAGCTGGTGGCACCTGATCTTCAACCTGCTGGTGCAGCTGGTGGTCGGCCTGCCGCTGGAGATGGTCCACGGCTCCTGCCGCGTGCTGACCGTCTACATGGCCGGCGTCCTGGCGGGCAGTCTGGGAACCTCTGTTTGCGACGCCGGCCGCCAGGTGTACCTGGTCGGCGCCTCCGGGGGAGTGTACGCCCTGCTGGCTGCTCATATCGCCAACGTGCTCCTGGTGAGTCCGGGTTGGTTATGTTCATCTTTTGAAAACATTTTTGGAACCATACATTCAGCGTTTTACTCTCAATCGTACTCAAGATCACACGTAGCTCAGTACTGAACACCAATATCTCTAATGGCCTCGAGCTTTGAAGAACGAAGTAGATTTCCCCTTTACTTCTTCGTTTGTTCTTACAAGCTTCAGTGGAACACGGAATGTTTTCGTCGTTATCCAAAGCATTTGTGGTGCGCTTGTAATGCTCACATTCTGATCCGACACTAGCGCCACCTAGTCTGAATGCTTCTCTTGCGTGACACTAACGCCACCTGTGCTCCGTTTCCAGAACTACCACAACATGGAGTTCGGCATCTTCCGCCTTCTGATCGTGTTTCTGATCGCGAGCTTTGACGTCGGTTTCGCCATCTACCACCGTTTCTCGCCTCTGCCGGCTGTGGAGCCGGCCGTCAGCTACGTGGCCCACCTGGCGGGCGCCGCGGCCGGCCTCACCCTGGGCCTGGTGGTGCTGAAGAACTTCCAGCAGAAGCTGCACGAGCAGCTGGTCTGGTGGCTGGCGCTGGGCACCTACCTGGCCTGCACCATGTTCGCCGTCATCTTCAACATCATGCACACGCCGCTGGACGAGCGGATCGTGTGAGGGGGCGTGGGGAGGGGCGGGGAGGGGAGTCGCTGTGATATGTGTATCGGCACTGGACGGGGGAGGGGAGGGGAGGGGCGACCAAGTCAGATCGGTTGTGATGTAAGGTGGCGAGCGCCGCGGAGGGAGGGGAGGGTGCGTCGGGTTCGTCCCGGCCGCCCCAGGTGCGCCAGAATCGGCAATATCTGAGCCGTGTCCATGTACCAAAGAGGAAATATTTGGGTCTGTGTTATTGTGTAGTAGACAATCCTTTAGGCACATTTCTGTATCGGTGTGAGCCCGGCGCGAGTGTAGGTGTGACGAGGTGAACAGGCGTGAATCTGTGTGACCGTTCAGTGTTCCGTGACGTCACGTTTATACGTGTGACGTCACTCTGCCGTCATACCGTCCACGACCCATTCCCGGCGCCGGCGCAGCAGTTCCCTCGGCGGCCGCCAGGGGCGCTGTCTGTCGCGCCCGCTGCATTTACGCCTCGGGCCGATAACTCGTGCGAGAGGTGACGTCACCTATCCAGTGACGTCACCGTGCTTATGTATAACGTCATCTGCCAGTGCCCGTCCGCGATTGTTCCGTTTATTAACATTTTTGGTGGAGTTCTGCGCTCGCGCAATAGTTCCATCGCTTCCGTCTTGGAGGCCTTTTCTAGTCAGCACGAGGGCCCTGCGCAGAGGCTAGTCGCCACTCACTCAACCAATAAGCCTTACAGCGTCCGCCTCTGCGCGGGGTCCGGGTGTGCACACTGTATACCGGGCGCGACTGTATACTCGGTGTGTTGGGGAGGCGGCCGCGGCCCCGGCCCCGCCGGGACCAGCTGACATATCCGGGGCGGCGCGGGTCCCCCAGTGACGTCAGATGACGTCACTAGGGGCACGGCGGCCCGCACACCTTCCAGTGAGCGCCTGTACTAAGTGTGTGTTGATGCTGAGAATATATAGTGGATGCACTTATCAGGGCGTTTGCCGTTTGGTGAGGACTAAGTAAAACTGGAGCAGTACCGGATTAAACAATCCATCACCACAGACCGAAAGTACACATCAGGCTGTATTAGAACGGTCTCAGCTCACATTGGATAGCAATACATCACACAATCCCATGTGCGATACGAATAAGCTCAGCGCCAGCAAAGCTACCATGATGCCCGGCAAAGCTCCCACGGAGCACTGACAAACACACATCATAAGGGGCAAAGAAACATAAACAGGGCGCGCTCCTACCCAGAAATGTCTGTAAATGTCGTCAGAAATGGCCGGCATATGTTCACCGGGGATACGGCACCAAAGCAGGGAATAATTGGTGTAAACAGCTTGTACACAGACAAATGTCGACATATTTCGCGACGGTGGGGGCAGGCCGTGCGGCGAACATGAACAAATACAGCACTTCACTTACACTACCTCACAATGGCACCGCGTGGGCTCAGATACTAACTGTCGAAACGAAGCGCAATACACAATATTTCCAGATTCTCTATGCTAGAACGAATTATTGTGGCAGCAGATATTGACAAATGTTTTAAGGTACTCCCGTGGCTAGCTTACAGATAACAAGATTTGGAACAATGTGGATTGGAGAAAACATTTTGATGGGCGAAGGAGATAAAGACTAATTGTCAGCATCCAAGGAGGATACACGTTGATGTCTAGCAAACATCAATTCGACGAAACACTGGTGTCATTCGCAACGTAACTGACGCCTGTTTCGATGCTCCCTGAACTTGCAGGCCTATGAACAACCAGAGAGAAAAGAGCAGCTATCGCGAAGATGGAGTTTTGTCAAGCATGTAATCCCAGCGCAATTTACATCCTAGCTCGTGTACAATGATCAAACAAAGAAATCTGGTACACATTTTCAAGCTGCGGCTCTGAAACGCGACATTAAGTTTCAGAAGGTGAATGAAAACGCGGCATCCCTTTCAACTTGGCAGAACTAGAGCGAGAAAGTTAGTACACTGATCTCGAGCCGATTTCGTCTACAAAAGCCGACGCTGATCGAATAGAAAATGATCAGACTGCGGGCACATGTGTTCAGGTGCACGCACCGCGGCCAAAATCAATCGCCTGAAGCAGGATTGAACATAATGCATATCTTACACAGGTAACACAGCCAAAACGAAGCTCACGGCTCCAAGGCTAATAATTCAAACTTATCAACGATTAGCTCCTCCCCAAATAAGTATTTAAGCCTAGTCCTAGACCAAATAATATTGAGAAACTTCCGATGGCTCCACACATCGACCAATATACACGCTGTGTAAATCACGATAAACTGGTTCTGGACTACTCACCACACATCAGGTAAAGCAGCCCCCTGCCACAGGTCTCGAAGTCTGTTGCGTCCTCCCGTGAGACACCAGTCCTCCCACAGATCTCTCTCCACACTGGCACGGTCACTGGTTCTCACTATTCACTGAAGTAATCACCTTTTCCCCGAGGCGTATCTCGCTTTTCCGCGCGCTCACTCACACCGGCCGCTCACCCCTCGCCGTCACAAAGCGTCTCCGGCAGCGGCCTCCCCTCCTCCGTCAGTTGCGCCAGCACAGTAGTCCCCGGGGGTGCCCCCAGCACCGGCTCCTCACTGACAGCCACTCCCATAGCGCGCGCGTTCCGAGCCTCCCTAATGTGCCGCTCCGGCCGGTCCGCGTGGATCTTCATATGCGTCTTCAGGTGGTGCGACTGTCGAAACCCGCGCTGGCAGACAGTACACACGTAGGGCTTCTCCCCAGAGTGGATCTTAGAGTGGTGGAACAGCTGGGTGCGCGTAGAGAAGCGCTTGCCACACGTCTCGCAGGCAAACGGCCGCTCGCCGGTGTGGGTGCGGGAGTGGATCTGTAAGGTGACTTTGAGCGCGAATCCCTTCCCACACGTGTCACAGAGGAAGCGGCGGCCGTCGGTGTGCGTTTTGACGTGTTTGGCCAGCGCCTTGTCGTCGATGAAGCCTTGGCCGCAGGTCTCGCACTTGGCTGGCCGCTGGTCGCCGTGCAGCAGTCGGTGCCGGCTCAGCCACATCTTGGTCTTGATGGTCTTCCCACAGATGTCGCAGATGTATCCCGGCTCGCCGGAGCGGTCGGCGCGACACTCGTGCTCCTCCAGCTGCGACGCCTCCATGAAGGAGCGCTTGCAGGCCTTGCAGCGGAAGGGTCTGGGCCGGCGTCCCGGACCGCGGCCGGCCGGCCTGCCCTCCCGGTCGTGCGCCTTCAGGTGGTACTCGAGTATCCGCCGCTGGGGGAATTTCCAGCGACACCGCGGGCACGGAAACTGACGCGCCTGCTCGTGGGCGTCCACGCTGTGCCGTACCAGGGCGTCTAGCCGTGAGTAGGCGCGCTCACACACCTCGCAGGACAGCTGCGGGCGGTTCGAGTGGGTGCGCGCGTGTCGAGACAGGTTCCGCGCCGAGGCGAACCGCTGACCGCACTCAGAGCACTCGTGGCTGTCCTCGTCACCGCCGCTGCTGCCGCCGTCACTGGGATCATCCTCTTCAGTGCCATCCTCCGCTCCGTCTTCGTAAGCCTCTTCCTCTTCGGCGTGGTCATAACCTTCTTCAACTGCTACTGCTTCAGTCTCAGTTTCCACTGCCACATTTTCGCCGTTGGTAGCGTCGCTGGGTTTCTCAGCGGCGAGTCGCCCTTCCCCATCAGCAGTTTCCCGCTCTGACGCGGCTGGCAGCGGTGCAGACACGTCTCCGCTCTCCTCTTCCACAAACACTACCTCTTCCTCCTCGGGTTCCTCAGACGGCTGTCTCCCCCGCCTCAGCCCGGCGCTCCGGGTCCGAGTGGCCGGCGGAGCGGCCTCCTGCGTCCGCCGCTGCGCCTCGCCGGTACAGATGTGCCGCTCCAGCTGACACTGCTGCGCAAACGCGTCGTAACACCCCGTGCACCGGTAGAAGCCCGTGCGCGGGTGCGGCGCGAAGTGTTCGCGCAGCTCGCGCGCTCGGAACCGCTCGCCGCAGCTGCCGCAGCGGGTCGGCTCGCGGCCCCTCCGCTGGGGCAGGAGGCGGGTCGGTGTGGCCGGACTGGCGGCGGTCTGTGCAGCCCTCCGGCGGGTGGCCGGGGCGCCGTGCTGCCGCGCGGCGCGGTGCCGCCGCTCGTGGCGCGCCCGGTCCAGCGGGGCAGCCAGCAGCCGGCCGCAGCGGGAGCACGGCTCGGCCGGCGCGCCGCCGTGCTCGCGGCAGTGGACCGCCAGCGAGATCCGATCGCTGAACCGGGTCCGACAGGCGTCACAGTCGAACGGCAGAGGTGGGGGCGCCGCGGCGGCCGCGGCCGGCGGCGCCGACCGCCTCCCGGCCGCCTCAGCGCCGGCGGCGGGCAGTGAGGAGATCACAGACACGCGGGAGGCCCGGGAGACGCCGCCGCCGCGGCCCCTGCGCGGCCACTTCTCCGTGACGAGCCGCTGGACCGGCTGGATCTCCTGCGGGACCCTCCGCGGGGCCACCCCGGACGCCTTCCGGCGGGCCGAGCCGGTCGGAGTCACCACCGCCGTGACGTCACAGACGGCGGGGGACTCGGAGGCGGCCGACTCGCCCGCCGGCCGCATCCAGGCCACGGAGTCAGACACCAGAACGTGGACTGTTCGGCCGGCGGCGGCGGCATCCGAGGCCGGCGGGGCGCCGTCAGACGCCTCAGAGGTGTCCATCGGCTGCGGAGCTGGCTCTGTTTCCTCATGCTCTAACGGCTGCTGCTGCGATGTCTTCCTCTCCTGTTCTGACAGCAGCTCCTGTTGTTCCTGTTTCACATCCTCCTGCTCTGGCAGCGGAGGCGGAGGAGTCAGTGGTGATGCCACTGGCGGTGATGGCGATGCTGATGGAAGGTCACCACCCTCAAGGCCTGCACTGGTCATCTCTGCTGACTCCCGATCTGCCATCACTTTGTCACAGTGAGCCACTGTTGTGACACCACCACACTCTGATGCTTCCACTGTGTCAGGATCTGGCTTAATCAGCTCCACCACCACTGTATTCTCAGCCTCCAGGGTTCCCAACCCTACACACTCAGCTTCTGCAGGGCTCTCTTCTGACTGAACCTCAACCACGGCCATGGGCTCCACTCCGACGGCTGGGTCGCCATTGGTCATGGTGGCACTGGGACTGCTGGCAGTAGCGTCCAGGGTGGCCATAATAAATGATCAATAGGAAAAGAAAGTAGAAGCAGTAAGCGAGATATGAGCAGGAAGTCAGCATTCACAGCTCATTATTACTTCCAGTCCAGGCAGAACATTGAGAAGATGTTTTATCTGGACGCAGCAAAAAGTCTGAAACAAATTCAGTTGGGCAAACTAGACCTTTGGAATCAAAATATGGAGGCATCAAAAGATTGATTCTTTTTGGGCATAAATGCAGACCATTTCTAACTTACTAATCACATAAAAATAAGAGAGTGTTTCAAGAAGGAGCATGCCTGATCTTGAACAGAAATGCTTGAACTATCTCCAAAGCAAAATAATATTGCTCCTATCATAACAATTTGAATTATATAGGTAGTCAAAGGCAATCAAGGAATTGATTCACTTTAAACAGATAATCATAATATTGATTCCCCATCAGCTGGCTAATCATTATTTTGATTCACAGGTAATGTTAACAGATAGGCAACAATGACTTGCAAGAACACAGCATTTATCTTACTGTTATTCTCATTTAGTGGTATCCTCAGCACCACAACTGATACCTATAGCATTGTTGTACTTTACCTTCACTACATTTGATAACAATTCACAATTTTTAAATGTCAAGAATACAAAAACTGAAGCAACAGGTAAAAACCATATAAATAATATAAAAGCACTACAACAATGATAATTAGGGGTTTAAAAATTTTATTTTGCCATTTTACACAAATACTGATTGGTTAGTATGTGATTCATGATACAAAAATAGCATACAGTGTGATTTCCTCAAAACAGCTTTTACGTGATGGACAGTGGCTCTGTCTTTTTCCCATTCACAAAGCCAAAGGGACAATTTCTTAGCTTTGAGGTAACACTTTTTGCAAACCTACCACATTTTTCTACCTTTTAAAAGAAAAATCTCACCGTCATGGGCCTTTTTTCAACCGTAATGATTCATTTGAAGTCAAAAGTGTACCCAAATGAATCAAAAAATTGATTCCATGCCCATATTTGGTCATGGCTCCTCCCACCAGAATCAAATTATTGATGCCTCCATATTTTGATTCCAAAAGTCTAGTTTGCCCAACTGAATTGTCAGCTCTGTCAATAAAGTATACTCAAGGTTGATATGAATTATTATACGTAAGAATAAAAATACATTTAGAACTCAAAAAAGGGTAAAATAAAATGCATGTTTAATGTCAAATAAGAAAAGCAGACCGCATATATCCGTGTTGCATTATCAGACCCATCAATCGTCCGCAAAAGCAAGGCCGTATACTGTATAGGTATAGGCAAAAGGATAGCTATGAACAACAGCACAGTGGTTTTACAATGCACAAAATGTTAAAAATTTATCTTTGTATGTGTTACCTACGCTGTATGCAAGGCTGCTGTATGCAGTCACCTTACTGTCACTTGCAAACTAATTACCCGAAAAATATTTTTGTTTTCTAGCACGTCTAGGGCGAAGGTTGCGCGACTGATACAAATGTGCTGAGAAATACGGGAACACCGCAGCTAATTGAAACTACACTCACAAAATAACAACCAGCCAGTCTATCTGACATAAGAATCGCAATATTTGCACATGTCAATTGATTCCTGAACAAATGACTGCTGCAAAACATGTCTTGAGCCGATAAATCAATAATTTTTACTTTTAATTCGCAATTCAATGTCAAAATTTTGTGGCAATGCTACTAAACTCACCCAGTCACTTTCAGCCGCACGAGTGCAGTATCGAAAAACCCATACACTGTGGAAAAACCATATACACTGTGGAAAAACCAACCGACCACTACCTAGTCAGTCAGTCGCTGCCTTACACAGCACAATATAGATGCAACAGCCGAGCCTCCATAGTGTCTCACAAACTGAAGGCAATATTATTGGCGACCTTTTCAGTTATGGCTGCAGCTAGCACGGATCAACGTTTTCTTCATGAGACGTGTTCTATGTGCCCACGTTACGCCACCAGCAGAGTTCACAGCTTTTTCGAGGCAGCCTTTTCTCCCACTCAAACTCACAACGAAATGTAGTTATTTATTTCTAAATGGTGACTCTATACACCGTGCGCGAAGCTGCTTGTTAAAATGGAAAAGGACAGACATGCGAAAGATAATACTAGAACTAAGCATAAAGAATCCATTCACAGCTAAAACAAGAAGCTGCTCCTACATTAGCAGATAGAATTTACCTTAAAATAGCGTAAAACGCTACGCATAGCACTCAGCCGCTGACTGGACAAACGACCACGTTCTGATTACAATAAGCCACTAATCCACCGTTACACGAAATCGTTAATTTTCCGTCTATCTCCTACTTTAGGTTGTTTTAACATAACACATTCATACTTCAGGTCTGTTACGGAAGGCACCCTGTACAAAACAGCCATCGCACTGGGCAGCCGTCCGCGCCGCCCGCGCCGCGCCCTCGCTCGTTCACATCACACACACTGGCCAGCGGACAGCGCACTGACGTAGGTGACGTCCGACACCTCTGGTGACGTCAGCTCGGACTCTGCCGTACACCAACGGAAAGTCTAGGAAGGCAGCAGTCGACCTCCTCGTACTGTAGCTCGGCGAGGTGGCTGAGACAACACCGCGCTCACCCCACCAAATCCTGATCTCTTCACGCATCCCCCAACAATCACACCCATCCACAGACCCCCGCCCCCCAAACGCGCTGACCCCTCAACAATCACTCTTCCACCCCCCACCCCCCGCAGATCCCTCCCCACCCCGTCCCCTCACCAGCGGGGTTCCGGGCCGACCCGCCCGTCACCCGGGAAGCCGAGCCGTAACGTCTGTCCCTCGGGCCGCCGCCGAGTCCGCGGCGCGGCGCCGTACCGCTCTGAACGAACGGTGCTCCAGTCCGCCGCCTGCAGCCGCTCAGAAGAGCGCCGGCAGTCCGAGCCGGCTGCGGCGCCGAGGGGTCAGAGCCGGCCGCGCCGCCGAGCGGGCCGGCGACTTGGCGGCCACACCTCCGGCCGTTCGCGGCGTGCGGGGCGTGCGGGCGCCGGCGGCGGCGGCCGGGGCGACCGGCGCCGGCGGCAAGCCGCCCAGCCGCTGCGAGCGGCGCCGACTGCGGGTGGAGGCGCGCACGGCCGGCGACGTGTCCGCAGCCGCCGCCTGCAGTCGGCGCAGGCCGCGCGTGAACTCGGCGTACGACATGTCCGACGACAGACTGACGTTGCGCGCGCTCAGCTTTCCGGGAGCCGTGCGCGCCATGGCCACGTCCCTGTGGGGGAGACGCGGGGGCGGGGGTTAGAGGCGGCGTAACGGGTGAAGTGACATAAGACAGAGGGCGGGACGGTGCCGAGACGAGCCGTTACACAGACGAAGAGGGAGTGATAGTGTCACTTACTTTGTGTAATTTACGAAGCATGGACGTTAAATTGAGCTAGCACATTTGTTTTAGTACGACACAGACTTATTGAGTGATATAATGTCTGAAAGTCTGCACAGTATTAATTCACATATTGCATACAGCAAATGCACACTCGTTCTTTTTTAACTAGGGGCACCTATGGACAGGTTTCACTCAAAACTATAACTACCAGTAAAACGCCTTTTGGGCGAAGAACGAGCGAGCGAGATAGTGAGCCCTGCACGTGCGGAAGGGCGAGAGGGTACTTCCAACGGGCTTGCGCAAAGCACCCTTCTAACCGGTCGCTAGCGGTGTACCAAATTTGAACGCAATCAGCCCAGCCGTTCCTGAGATCTGGAAGCGGCATCCTGCACGTGCGCACGTGCAAACGGGGTCCAAACTGACTTTTGCACGGCACCCTACTAACTGGTCCCCAACCATGTACCAAATTTGAGCGCAATCGGCCCAGCCGTTCTCGAGATCTGGAAGCGCCCCCTGCACGTGCGCACGTGCAGTAGCACCTTAACCGCAACACATGGGAATGCATTGCCTGGTGGGTGCCTACCTGCATGCCAAGTTTCAGCGAAATCGCCCCAGTAAATACCGAGTTATTAAAATGGGAACAAATTTGACACCTCTTATTGTTCTTATTGTTGTATTTTGCACGTGCACTGTGGGTGACCCACATATATCGGGAGTATCCTATTTTTGGTAGAAGGGATGCTGCTACCCTACAAAAATTACCGCAAGCCAATCGCCCAAGCGGCTGCTGAGATATGAGCCTCTCAAAATCACTACTTTTGCAAAACAGCTTGAACACCCTTGACTTTTCACGTGGCACGTGCCACGACGGTCACTGAGATGCATCAAAAGTAGTCAATTACGGGATAGAAGGGATGGGGCTACCCAGCAAAAAAGACCGCAGGTCAATCGGTCCAGCGGTTGCTGAGATATAAGCCTCTCAAAAGCGTTACAGGCCGGGCCGGGCCGGGCCGGGCCGGGCCGCTCATACTGAGATTTTTCCGTTATATTGAAAAGACTCGCTTCGCTCGCTGCGCTCGCTCGCTCGTAATTATACCAGGAGTCTCCATTTTGACGCCAAAATGGAAAAGTTCCATCAGCCCATGCGGCATCATTTAAATCTCCAAAAGATACAGAATACGCAAGTTCTATCAGGTCGACAATTAGTTCCATGCAAACTACGAGTACAAATATGAGCTGATTATACAGAAAGCAATAAAGAACATAAATAGTTCAGAAAAGATAGCAGAAACGCAGAAATCACAACGCCTGATTGATATCTACCGCCGCATTTCGTCAAAGCCCATTGCGCCTTGACGAGGGGTGAACACGGACTACTTTGTACTACACAAATGCACTATTGAAAAACAACTACACCCAACCAACAAAACGACTGGGTAATTTTGACTATTTTGCTAACGAAAATACCGCGCAACCAAACCACTGAAACTATGTTTGGCACCGTCGACGTTTAGTCGAGAAGATCCTGATTAATTCTTGCGACAAAAAGAAAGTAAGATTAAGAGAGATGAAAAGAATACTGAAAAGCAGCCGCCTCCTGAAGACAGGCTCGCTTACCAGCTAACCGCTCAGCGGCTGCAAATAAAAGACAATCGTGTGTTACTTAATTGCCCCAACCGTCAAAACTAGAGCAAAAGTAGCATGAACAACGAACAAATAGACACCAGTTGAACATAAACATCAACGACCTAACGCCTCTAGTGCTCAAAAGGCTTTGGTAAACATGGCTGAAGCAACATATCATCACTGGAGAGAAAAGTTCGCTTAAAGGATCCTAATCTAACGTTCGTACACTAACGCATGCGATGGAAGAATATTGAAAAAGCATAGCAAAGAGTCTACTTCCATAATTCCAAACATAATGCTCGGTATCGAAAGTGACAGGAGAAGTACAGGCATCGGAAGAAATCTCGTAGATTTCACGGACTCCGGTCGAAGCTCAGAACGCATGTAAATCAATCAAGGCATCTACCTGTCGGCTGTCGCGATAATAAGATACTCGCGATGCACTGATTGTGTGAGTGCTAAAGCAGAGTGCTATGTTAGGTATATGTTGGGTTGGGTTAGGACAAGCTGTGTGTTAGTGCCCTCTTTCCAGCAACGCGTAAGCGCGTCAGTTTAGTCAATCCAAGCAGCAAATGCAAATAGTACAGTTGCACATTTACAGCAGCAAGACGCACAACAGCGCGTTGTACTGATTCGCATCAGGTCTGCAACTGTGAAGTGAATTTACAGCTGCAGTGCGTGCTGTGCAATGCACTGCAACACATCAGCAACTGTGAATCTACAGCTGCTGTGCAATGTGCAGCTGCGTATCTCCGGCCGCGGAGGAGCCCCAGCCAGCGCGGGTTACAGGCCAGGGCAGTCAGTGTGCCGTGGAGCATATTGAGTTGCCGTGCGGGGCTGGTTAGGTACAGCGTGCCGCGCAGGCGCTTAGCCATGGAAGCGGGCGTGGAAGCGCGCCTCTCGGGCCGCTTACCTCCACCGGGCCGGCCGACCGGCGGACAGGGGGCGGGCGGGCGGACGGACACTCACTTGGAGCGGAGCACGCGGCGATCCTGGATGGGAGTCAACGGCAGCCTGCAGGAGACGGTATACCGGAGAGTGAGAGAGAGAGAGAGAGAGAGAGAGAGAGAGAGAGAGAGAGAGAGAGAGAGAGAGAGAGAGAGAGAGAGAGAGAGAGACGGCGTTGCGTCAGACAGGCGAAGGGAAGAAAGGGAGGGGAGGGATGGATGGAGGGAGGAAGGAAGAGATGGAGGAATTGTGGTGGGACGGAGGAATGGGTTTAGGGTGAGGAAGAATGGAGTAGGGAGGAAGAGGGACAAACAAGTAGATGAAAGAAAAGATGTGGGATGGGATGTGGGATGGGGTGTAGAATGGACGAGGTAGGATATTGTGGGACGAAGATGGTCAAAGTAGAATGTCGTGAAATTGATGTGGAAAAGGTCTAAGTGGACTTATGGGTGTGTGACGTACTGAACTACTGAGGACAGTGTCCGTGGGACGATGGACGT